CAAATAATAAGAAAGAATTATTTAGGATCTTTTATTTTAAAGTATAAAACATTTTAAAAGGTATAACTAACCTCATCCATGTAATATTCAACTATATTTAATTTAATAAAATAGCAATAGATAATTCATGGTATGAGTTACTTTAATCTTAAACATTTTGGAAGATATATTATGATTTTTTAAAAGAAAAAAAATGAGAAGAAAGATTAAAAACATGTTGAGTTTGACTAAATCTGATTGGATCCTACTAAAAGCTCCATGATCACAACAAATCATGTATATATATTTGTTATTTTGGCTTTAAACGCTATTAGAAGTTGTAATATGTCATTTTTACTAAAAGGTAGAGAAAAAAAGAGTTGAAAATATGTTGGAAACCATAGTTTCAAGAATTGCATGAATCGTAAAAAGTGAATCGAATCGTGAATTGATTGTGAATCATGCAATTCACTAGAGATTCACTTCCAAAATAGATTCACCCATAGATTCGTATCGATTGTACAAAAATTACGAATCGAATCGTGAATTAAATCGTGAATCATAAGATTTTGATAACAGAGGGACACGGCAAGGAGAAGAGAAGAGACCTAAATTGAAACTGTTCATTGATAGAAGTTTGAAGTCGATCTCCATCTCTGTCGAGCTCCATCTTAATCGATCTCCATCCTGGTAAGTCTCTTGTCTCTGGGCCTCTCGTCTCTCATCACTCTCTGTGTCTTCTCGCCTCTCATCAGTCTCTCTTCTCAATTCTAATTGTCTTCTCATCGTTTTCTCACCTCTCGCTCGCTCTGTCTATCTCTCACCTTGCGATCGATTGACAAGCTCGTCTATGTCTCTCTCGCCTCACTCACTCTCTCTCTCTCTCTCTCTCTCTCTCTCACACACACACACACACACCCCTCACGCTCTATATATAATCTATATTATATCTATATATTAGATTTATATATTAGATTTATTTATTTAAATGTAGTGGCATTTATTATATATATCTTTATTTATTTATTTAAATGTATATTTTTGTTAACGAATGAAAATATATTAAAAAAAATTTGTCATGTCCCCCGCCGTGTCTGTGTCTTTATTTTTCGAAAGTTGCCGTATCCCGTGTCCGTGTCTATATCCGTGTCCGTGTCCGTGCTATATATATAGTTGGAATGTAGACAAGAAATTTTGTACCTTCAAAACTTCTTTTTGGTGATATATATTTATAGTTTCACTACAACAAAAAACACATTTGGCGACCCAAAAATTTGTCGCCAAAAGTATAAATTCCGTCGCCAAAAGAATCGGCGACAAATATACAACTTGTCGCCAAAGGCCTGCCACTAAAAGTATTGGCGACGAAATCAGAAATTGTCACCGTATGTAGACATTTAGCGACAAGCAAAATTGGTCCCCAAAAATCATATGTTTTGTTGCTATAAAATTATCATTTGTTGCTAAAAGGTTAAAATTTGGGTAGGCTATGTAGTTTTAGCGACAAATAAATACGTCGCCAAAAGTACTATTTAACGACAAAATTAATTTGGTCGTTAAAAATCACGTTTTTAACGACGAGTAAGTTTTGGTTGCTAAACGTTCTTGGAATAACCACTAACTTTTAGTGACAAAAATAATATGTTGTCGCCAAATATATTAACAGCGACCAAAATACCACTTGTCACTAAAAATTCAGTACAGAAATTTTGATTTTAATAATTTTCCTATTCAAAATAATCCAAAACACCTGTTTTCCTGTGCACAATATATACACAAATGTAATGTAAATAATAATACACCTGTGCAAGACATTCATACTAATTCAAAATTAATAGCTATGAAAAATCCCAATAAACATAATTACAATTCTCTAACAATCTAAAACATGCGTACCAAAGTACTTACAAACTACTAACATCAAACCCATAAATACATTGCCAAATCCTATGTCAAAATATTTTCAAAATTACAACCAAATATTTTGATGTTAAACATCTAACCAACAAGTCATTTATTAAAATCCTATGTCAAAATATTTGCAAAAACACAACACCAAATATTTTGATACTAAACATTTAATCCATAAATCTTTTACCAAAATCCTATGTCAAAATATTTTCAAAAACACAATCAAATCTTCTGATGTAGCCCAAACTATTTTCCACCATTGCCAATCTATCACATGAAAAAAGAAAAAACAATATTAGATTGACAAAAAAAAAAAATCTCGATATGAACTTTACAATTTTGATTTTAATTTTGTAACAGGAAGTCCAATTGGGTGCTGTTTGCTCATACAACTCTATTTAGGCTTGAACAAGCTACCTGTGCCAAGTTTTGGTGGTTTCAGTGGTCATTTTGCAATTTTGGCCCCTGAACGGGCTTTTTAAGTCTTGTGTTTTACATTTTTTCTTCTAATTTTCTAACCGGAAATCCAATCGAAGTCTCGTTTGTTCCTACAAGTCTATTTAGGTTTGAACAAGCTGACCGTGCCAAGTTTTGGTGGTTTCGGTTGTCATTTCACAATTTCGGCTCCTGAACAAGCCTTTTAAGTCTTGTGTATTACAATTTTCCTTCTAATTTTCTAACCGGAGATCCAATAGAGGTCCCGTTTGTTCCTACAAGTCTATTTAGGCTTGAAAAGGCTGTCCGTGCCAAGTTTTGGTGGTTTCAGTGGTCATTTTGAAATTTCGGCCCCCAAACGGGCCTTTTAAGTCTTGTGTTTTACATTTTTCTTTCTAATTTTTTAATCGGAAATCCAATCGAGGTCCCGTTTGTTCCTACAAGTCTATTTAGGCTTGAACAAGCTGTCTGTGCCAAGTTTCGATGGTTTCGGTGGTCATTTCGCAATTTCAGCCCCCGAACGGGCCTTTTAAGTATTGTGTTTTACAATTTTCCTTCTAATTTTCTAACGGGAGATCCAATTGAGGTCTCGTTTGTTCCTACAAGTCTACTTAGGCTTGAACAAGCTGTCCGTGCCGAGTTTCGGTGGTTTCGGTAGTCATTTCGAAATTTCGGCCCCCAAACGGGCCTTTTAAGTCTTGTGTTTTACATTTTTCCTTCTAATTTTTTAACCAGAAATCCAATCGAGGTCCCGTTTGTTCCTACAAGTCTATTTAGGCTTGAACAAGCTGTCTGTGCCAAGCTTCGGTGGTCATTTCACAATTTCAGCCCCCCGAACGGGCCTTTTAAGCCTTGTGTTTTACAATTTTCCTTCTAATTTTCTAACCGAAGATCCAATTGAGGTTCCGTTTGTTCCTACAAGTCTACTTAGGCTTGAACAAGCTGTCCGTGCCAAGCTTCGGTGGTCATTTCACAATTTCAGCCCCCCGAACGGGCCTTTTAAGCCTTGTGTTTTACAATTTTCCTTCTAATTTTCTAACCGAAGATCCAATTGAGGTTCCGTTTGTTCCTACAAGTCTACTTAGGCTTGAACAAGCTGTCCATGCCAAGTTTCGGTGGTTTCAGTGGTCATTTCACAATTTCAGCCCCCGAATGGGCCTTTTAAGTCTTGTGTTTTACAATTTCCCTTCTAATTTTCTAACCGGAAATCCAATCGAGGTCCCATTTGTTCCTACAAGTCTATTTAGGCTTGAACAAGCTGTTCGTGCCAAGTTTCGGTGATTTTGGTGGTCATTTCGCAAATTCGGCCCCCTAACGGGCCTTTTAAGTCTTGTGTTTTACAATTTTCCTTCTAATTTTCTAACCGGAGATCCAATCGAGGTCCCGTTTGTTCAACACAACCAGACATATTAAATGAAATGCTTGTAGTGATTTGAAAAGTCAATTATGAAAAATATACTTACAAAAGTGTTTGTCAATAAGATTCATCAACCTGCATGTACACATGATCACATTGTATAATATAAGGAACTATAAGTCAAATTATATGGTGATCCTCCACAAAGGAAAACAGCTTCGTTTTGACTGGCAGCTGTCATTGCTGTGCGGGGCAACCTGTGCAGCAGTATCCCTAGACCCCTCATAATAGTTTTTTTGTAAAGTTGGCAGAAGAAAATGGAGCCAACAAGGCAGTTTTAGATTTTAGCCTTTCCACATGTCTCAAATACTTTATTATAGAAATGACAATTAGGAGAGATTGGCCAAGTTTGTGGTGTTCTGTCCCCATCCCATTCCATGTCGGTGTAGAAAAAATTTGAGACGTGGTGCGGGCGGGATCAAGAGCGAGGAGGTACATGAATAAATTGCCACTCTTGTACTGTATTTAGTTCACTAGAATGGAATGATTACTCCATCTAAATATTCAATCTCATATTTGTTTCAATAAAATTAAAAAAAAAAAAAGTTTCATACAATTTATCAAAACAAAAAAGTTTTCATTGGAAATGCATTCATCGTTCACCAAATTAGGAGAATGATTGTTCCTTTAGAAGGTCAAGAAATAACCATTCCATTCTTGCTGATATTAATAAAAGTTAGATGATATAGCATATGAAGGACACCGATTGATGAGCACTAAGGGCTAAAAAGATTAAGATGAGTGATAGGGAGGCAAATAATAAGAATATATACGAAATTTTGATTTTATTTTTTTACATTAAATATATATATATATATATTTAATTAATTAATTAATAAAATTGGGACAGAAGTGGGGAAAGTGAGGTGGGAGAAACAAATCGCATTCCCTCCCCGTTCTATTATTGGGATAGGGGATATAAGGTTGAGACAGGAGCAGAGCAGGACAAATTGACATCCCTAATCTATATCACAACTAGGGAGACTCATAGTATGATAGAGAGTTTAATACCAAAAAAAACGTGTTTTGAGTGAAGTCCTCTATGATTGACTGGCAAATAATTGGGAGCCTACATATGTTTTAGGACACAAAATGCCATCTGCATAGTACAAAAAATACAGCCATTCACCTAACCTATGTGGATCAAAGTAAATAAGTCACTAGGAGAAAAGTAATTTAATCTGGCAGAAAAGAAAAATATTGTTAAACCAAAGTAAATAAGTCACTAGGAGAAAAATATATATATATGAGTGTGGCATTACCTAGGGTGGTGATCAACACTGGAAAGAAAATGTTTCCATGATAAGTCCTGTTTCCTCAGTTGAACATCCACGTCCTTTCCAGATGCAGGAATCACAATAGCTTTAGGTGGAACAGCTTCTACTACTCGACTGCAAGGGAAGAGGAAAAAAAACACAAAAAGCCATGACTATGCTAGAAGTTCATTTAGAAGCATGTCTTGTGAAATTTAATTACATATTTTTAGGATAGGATATTATTATAATATTAGTCAGAGCTACTAAACTAAATGCTTCAAGTATATCTCACAGAAACAATGTTAGATGGACTCAGGTATGAGTATCGGGTGCGAGTGTGTATCCAACTCGTCAAAGCTTCCTAAACCTAAATCTTAGGACATTGCGATATGCATCCAAAAGTTGGGTATTGGTACGGGGAGATATCCTGAACACTTGTATATTTTGCTTACTGTATGATATTGTTAGATAAGCTGATGCAAATTATTTGAAATGTATTTGAAATTAAATAAGATTTAGGAAAAATATAGAATTTCTACCTCTCATTCATGTGAGAGGCATAAAAACATTTTTTTACTTGCAAATGTGAGTTGCTTCTTCAAACATCATACAAAATTAGGGGATTCAAGTGTCTAAATTGTGTATGTGTGTTGGACAACTATCCCACGCATTTATCCTTATCATATCCATTGGAAACGGGTACTGTGGGGGAAATATAAAATTGGCGTGTGACATTTTTAAGGGAAAATTTGGCCTTTCTACACAATTGAAACTTTAACTGCAAATTGTTCAAAAAACTGGAGCAGTTTGAGTGAGGGAGTGGCCAATGAAGCTACATTCAACGAATAACTGAATTTGGATCTTTGACTGAAAATGATTCAGAGAGTCCTCCTTTGCTCCATTTCCCAAGACTTCTGGTGCATAATGCATTCAAATTTTGCTACCAAGCATACATTCCTGCCTCAGAGGGAGTTTTGGGTCTTAAAGGTCCTTCAATAGGTTTATGAACCTTCCCCATGCACTCTCTTTGACTCAATTTTTTTTTTTTTTTTTTGTCAATATGTAAGAGGCATATATGTTTGTGACCACCAGGCACTTGAGCCCTGCACTGTCCTTTTCAAGGAAGTATAAATTACAACTTTAACCAACATCTGGTTGTTCTCAACAATTTCCACTCATCCCTGAGCCACTGGAAAGAGCTTATAACATGTAAAATGACATTACATATGCTATTCAAATGTAGTTGACAATAATCTTAATTCTCACTTATGCTGCACACAGAGCAAAATTTCCATAACAAACATGGGTTCTATGGCCTATGAAGCAGGAAAAGCCAAGGACATGGATATGGACTTAAAAAGTAGTTAACATTAATCTTAATCCTCATTTATGCTGCACATAGAGCAATATTGTAGTAATAACATGGCTATATGGGATATGAAACATGAAAAGCCAAGGAAATGGATATGGACTTCAACAGTAGATCATTGCATGCAGTATTCACTCAATCTGTTTTAAGTGAAACCCTTACCTGTATAAAGGAAATTTCTGACCCCCTCATACTATAAAATCCTGAATTCAAAATCAAGCAAGAATCAATTTCAAAATAAAGCAAATTATGCAAAAGTAAAACTATTCAACTAGTTTATAGAATTCTATCAGCTGTGAAGTAACTACAATAGGAGCAACTCAAATAGTTTTATTTGAGAAAAATCAGTTTTATTAATGTTGAAGATAATTTTTACCAGAGGTATAATTTTTACCAGAGGTATATAATTGAAGAAGGGAGTTAATATGACCGGGGCATGGCCTGGACTTGGCTGAGCTCCCTGCATGGTCCAAGCCCATTGAACCCTATAGATGTGCGCCAAACAAGGAGATGGGCCGAGCTTACTAGATGGACCAAGCCCAATCCAGTGAGCATACTTGGGTTGAGAAGAAATGGCTAAGGCCAGACACCTCACATCGCAACTTGGGCCATGTATCAAGAGCATTAGGGTCAGGCTGACAACCCATTGGGTCCAGGTAGGCATGAGCTGAAGAACAAAACAAGAGAGAATAGACAACAAAAACAAGGCTGTGCCAATTGGTGAAAGAGCAATCAACAACACCCAAAAGACACAAAAAGAAGAAGGACAAGAAGAACAAAACACCCCAACTGTTACTGCTCACCCAATTTAGCAAACAAGAAAATGCAACAACCAACTAAAACCATGAAAGCAAAATCAACAACCCAGCAATAGCAGCCTAAGAGCACAGCAAATTGCCCTGCAACCAAAGAGCACAGCAGCAACAGCAACCAGCTCACCCAATTTAACAAACAAGCAGTAGCAGCCTAAGAGCACAGCAAAATTGCCCTGCAACCTAAGAGCACAACAGCAACAGCAATGTACAACAGAGCCACACCAGCAGAACATCCAGCAGACATCCATAACCAATCAACAGAACATCCATAACCAAGAAACTAAGAATGACCTATAAACTGCTATACTACAAACTTACTAAAAATCTTACCAAAAATATAATAGGCCAAATGTGATTCGTTGTTAAAAAATTAATGATATTAATCATCCAATGATATTGGAACATATATGTTTTTAGTAATATTGTTAGCAAGACTTTAAATAGACGTAGCATTGCTCTTAAACTAGTCTTACCTAATAAACTATAAATAGAAACTACACAAAACAATTTAAATTGACTTTGAAAATAATAAATAACTATAAACAACTCATATAAACCATACAAAACAGTCCCATAATGTGGCATTAACCACATATAAACTGAAGGGTAATTTACAGTTTGCCCTTTTATATTTGGCCATTTTTCCACTTTCACCTTTCATATTTCATGTTTTTCTCAATTTATTCCAAAAGGTAATTCATGTCCAAAATTAGATACATGAAGCTGCTACAGAACAAGCTACAGAGCAGATGAAGAACAGACCAGCAGCATGCAAACTCAGAGTATATCAAAGCATATCAATAACAGACCAGCAGCATGCAAACTCAGATGAGAACCAACCCAAAACAAGCATAGAACGGGACTATACACTAGCAGACCAGAACAAGCACAGATAGGGACTATACACTAGCACAGACCAGAAACAGACCAGAACAAGCACAAATAGGGACTATACACTAGCAGCATGCAAACTCGGAACAAAACCAGGCCAGATTAACCACCCATAGAGCAGATATACAAAACCAGCCCAGATTAACCATCCGTAGCCCAGATTACCCATTCACCAGCCATAGAGCAGATATACAAATCAAAAACAGACTAGAACATATTAAACTTCACTATCAAAGTGGAACAGATCAGCAGTAGCTCACTGGAATCCCCAATCACTGAACCCCCAAATCTGAACCAAATCATTAAACTTCACTGAGCACCCTTTTGTGTGTTAGCCTATGCGGACCTAAGAGATGCTAAATTGTAATATCAGTCCCCAAAAAATACAAAATCAGTTCCAAAATCAGTCCGAAATTCAGAATATACCAGTCCCGAAAATCAGTTCCAAAATCAGTCCAAAAATTAGAATATATCAGTCTGAAAATCACAATATCAGTCCGAAAAATTAGATTGATGACAAAGAAGAAAAAGAGGAAGATGAGAGAGTGTGAGGGAAAAATCAGTCCCATTGATTGTGTTGTGTTCTGCAATGCCGAACAAGAGGATGAAATTGATGATAAAGACGAAAGGGAGGAAGATGAGGCAGTGTGAGAGAGTGAGAGGGAGAGGGAGAGGGAGAGGGAAAGGGAAAGCGAAAATAAGAGGGAGAGAAGACATACCTCTTTGTCTTCTGTTATGCCGCTTCAGGTTGTGGAATGAGAAGACGAAGAAGACTGATTTTAGGTCAATCTTGTTTATTCGGTCATTAAAAAAAAAAAAATCAAAACGACATCGTTTTGACAAGAAATTTATTGGCAACGAAAATCATTATGTTGCCATAAATATCATTTACCTTTCAGCGACTATTTTAATTCCGTCGCCAAAAAATCTAAATTGGCGACAAACATTTTCGTTGCCATATATTAATTTCGTCGCCAAAACTTTTTTAGCGCTCCCGCGCAAAAAATTAAATTGGCGTCAACCATTTTCGGCGACGAATTGAGATATTTGTTGCTAATGGTGTATTTTTTGGCGACCAACACGTAATTGTCGCCAAAAACATACAATTGGCAACTAAATTCAATTTGGTTGCTAAAAAACGTCACCAAAATGTTTTTTGTTGTAGTGTTTGTGCTATAATAATATTTTTTCAACTTATATTTTTTTATGTTAACATATTTTACGATAAACCATACGATATGCAAAACATCAAATTAGAACAACGATACACGATACGTATCATGATTCAACAATACTGAGTAATACTTCTCACACAATCCCTGGGATAAAAAAGGGGACCAAATCTCCCCTTCCAAACCAATCCCCTAAAAAAATGAGGCCTTACAGAAGAATTAAAGGCACCTACCATAAGTTAGTTTCAAAGAATATTGTCTGATTATCTCACAGTTGCTGGACATTACAATATTGATGGAAAATCTGTTCCTTTTCCATTTCTCTGTCTTTTTATTTGATTATCATACTTTTTTTTAGGTTGTTGTTGTTGTTTTTTTTTAAATTTATTTTTTTATTTTATTTTATGCTGGACATTACAAATCCCCCCCCCCCCCCCCCCACATCTTTCAATGGTTTTAGTCCCTTTCCCCACATATTATAGTCTAGAATTTCATGCAAAGTTTCACTAACGTGAAGAGATGTATTTAGTCTCTAGAATTTTCCAGTTCTCTGATCCCAAATATGGGAATACAAACTTGAATTGTATTCTCGAACTTGAATTGTATTCTCTCTCTCTCTCTCTCTCTTTCTCTCTCTCTCTCTCTGTGGTTGTTTGTGAGAATCCACTTTGACAAAGTTTGCGGGGCCCATGCAGGATGCAGCCAGTTACTGAATTTCTGATTGAGTTGTGTTTAGCAATTTTGCTTTATTTGTATCTGATGGGTTTTCCTGCTTTTGTTTTCTGCTTTCAGATATGTCTCGAAATGCTGTATTTTGAAAACTATTCTGGTGATGCTGAGAGTAGCATTGTGAGAGAGACATGGGCAAGACTCATTGATCAAGCTGTTTCAAGGGGTGGCATTGCTGAAGCTTGTGCAGTACTAAAGAGGGTTGGTTCCCATGTTTATCCCGGAGATAGAGCTGTTTTACCTTTAGATACGTTGTGCCTTCACCTTGAGAAGGCTGCACTGGTACTTTTCTTTTACTTTATTTTCGTTTTTGTTCCTTCTTTGTTTTTTGTTTTTTGCTGTTTTATTCAATTTTGTTTTATTTTATTTTTGTTTTCCCTGCTCCAGTGGTTTCATATGATTAATGCTATTTCTGACTGCTTGTATACCTGATATGTTATCATTTTGTAGGAGCGATTGGTTTCAGGGGTTGAATCTGTTGGAGATGACGATGTCAAGGGCTCTTCTTGCTGCCTGTAAGGGTGCAATAGAACCTGTCTTGAATACTTACGACCAGCTGTTATCAACTGGGGCAATTTTGCCATCACCAAATTTGAGATTGTGTCTCCTCCGTTCAGTGCTGGTAATACTTCGTGAGTAGGCAATGTCTGTATTTGCACAGAGAATGAGTACAAGTACTACCGGAGCATCTCTCATTCTTGGTGGAACATTCTCACTGGAGCAAACAACAATATTTAACGAAGGGGTTCGTGACAAGATCACGAGTGCAGCGAACAGGTCAATTTCTTATTCGTTGTTAATTCCACTTGGGTTCATAAATCAGTGTATTTCGTTTCAGTTTTTTGGAAATTGATTTTTTTTGTTTTTCATGTTGTTTTGTTTTTAGTGAATGTTTTTTAAATTTTAAGTAATTTTTTTTACTTTTTGAGATGCACCTTACTTAGATGTATTTAAATAGTCAAATATTTGTGAAAAAATATTTTAAAAATTAATAAATACACAAAAATATGAAAAATATACTGAATTTTCGTTTTTTTTTATTTTTATATTTTTGGTATTTAGTGAATTTTTAAAGATTTATTTCACAAATATTTTATTTTTTAAATGTATTTATATTAGATGTGTCTAAAAATAAAAAAAAATGCTTAAAATATAAAAAAAATCAGTGAAAACAAAAAATACGAAAAACAAAAAAATAGAATTTTTTGAAATGTGAATTCTGAAAACTGAAACCAAACAGAGAATATTTTTTTAGGGATTGAGATTTATGAATTATATGTGTACGAGTGCAGAATAATCTTCTCGTATAATCCTGTTGATCAAGTTTGTACTCCTCCAAATGTCGTCGCTTTACTCCCTAAAAACACAAACGTGAGCTATCCGGCGGGTGTGTGCCGGATACCTCTCCGATACCTAAGTTAGCAAAAATAGATAAATAGACAAAAGCTCTGTGTATTCGATAACCAAAGTTGTGATACCTGTACATAGGTTATGTTGAGAGCTTTTATAGTTTTGCCTGGCATAATCCTAGTAAGACTCTTATTGCTCAATGTAGAGTCCTTCTAGGAATCACACTCCTGAAAGATAATGCTTATCCTTCAACACCCTCCTCACTACGTAAACCAAGTGAGATGGTTTTACCACGGTTGGATAGCAATATGACCGAGCTAACACTAGCCCATTGTCATACTTAATCCAGCACCTTCATATGCAACACATAGCTCGGCTCTTGTTCTCTGGTACCTTGGTTTTTTCTGTTTAGACTGAGCCAATTGCAGCAAGAGTTGACCATGCTAACAAGGGCGAGGTCCACCTTATGAAACCCAAACACCTCGGCTCATAACTCGGTCCAGATTTCTCCTGGCCCAAGCTCGTTAGTTTTTTGCCCGAGCTACATCAGCTCCTATCTCGGTCCAACGTGTGGCCCAATTTCCAAATAAGCCTCTTCCTTAGCTCGGCCCAATTTATTTATAAATTACCCTTTCAATTGCCCCTTAATTCTATCACTACAAGAAAATACATTTTTGCCAACCATTTTTGGCTACCAAAAACAATTTAGTTGCCAAAAGTTACGAAATTGGCTACCAAAAATAATATTAGTCGGCAAAAATCAACTTTTTAGCTACTAATTTTTTTTAGTAGGGGAATGTTGATTATTGGCGACTAAAAAAAATTTAGTAGCTAAAAATATTACAATTGGCGACTAAAAATCTTTTTAGTAGCTAAACATATCACAATTGGCGACTAAAAGAAATTTTAGTAGCCGTAGAGGTACCTTTAGCTACTAAATTGTTTGGTAGCCGCATGAAAATAAAAAATTTAATTTTTAATCTTTGGCGACCAAAATTTTGGTCGCCAAAAATATATTGTCAGCGACAAAATTCCTTTTAGTCGCTGTAGACCCACTTTTGGCTACTAAATTGTTTGGTAGCCGAATGAAAATAAAAAAATTAATTTTTAATCTTTGGCGACCAAAATTTTGGTCGCCAAAAATATATTTTCAGTGACAAAATTCCTTTTAGTCGCTGTAGACCCACTTTTGGCTACTAAATCGTTTGGTAGCCGAATGAAAATAAAAAAATTAATTTTTAATCTTTGGCGACCAAATTATATTTTAGTCGCCAAAGATGACCTATATATATATATATTTTGTACCGAACCAAACCCTAAAATAATCAGCACCTCTCCCCCCTCTCTCTCTCTCTCTATTTTCAGCGTTGCTCCTCTCCCCTCCCTCTCTCACTGCTGCTCTTCCTCGCCTTCGCCGGAAATCGGAGCACCTCCTCCTCCGCCATCGCCATCGTCATCGTGAGTACCGCCGCTCTTTTCACGCCACCTCCTCCTCCGCCGATAATTTTTATTTTCTTGATGAAATTGGTTTTTCATATAAGCAACTGCAGATGAATTTATTTATTTATTATTTGTTTTTATTTTTTTTCTTTTTTTTGTGCTATTCATTTAAGGATGCCATGAACTATTTAGAAGCCCTTTTGGATCATTGGTGTTTCACTATTTAGAACCCTTTTGGATCTATTTTTTTTCCTCCATTCTTGATATTAATTTCAGAAATTAGACAATATCTACTTTGCTGGTTTTGCCACTACTAACTTTTCTTCAATGATTTTTTAGCCTCCTTATGCTTGCAAAAGTTTCATAGCAAACATGTTACTAGAGCACACATTAGCGTCTGTATCACATGATAGTAGCATCTCAGCTAGCTTATCTAATTTTTCCCTAGTACGTCCTGCATTCAATCTCCCAAAAGCATTGTTTCTTATCTATGGTTCTAAGCTTTGCCACATATTAATTTCAACTGATAATGTTTCCATAATTAATGCACTTCTAGGTATGCTTATCTTGATGCCATCTTACAGAAATTTTTAATAACATAATAAAAACAATTGAAAATTTTTAATGCTTTCCAAGAAAAAATTGCATTGTTTTGTGGGGGATTTGAACATTCTTAATGCAGTTATAATAGATTTTAACCCAATTGAAATTTTTATTTTTATATGCTTGCAAAATTGGCTCTAGATTCGTCCATGATCAACCACATCCTTTTATTAAGTGCTTCCCCCTTTCTTCCCCTGAAAATTTTCCCTCTTTATAATTTAAAAAGTGTGTGGTACTCACTTTTTGTTTATTCAATGGACATCTGACACATCCATGTCCTTCGAGAAAGTAGTATTCTATAAGTTGATTTTTATTTTTTGTTTTTTGATTTCTTCTTCTGATGAATCTGTAAAATTTCCTGGAAGTGGCAACTGATGAATCTGTTGATTTTTATCTTTTGCTATCTCAGATATACAATGAACAGATCGGAGATCTTTTATTAATTAAGGTAGCAAATAACAAGGCATTCAAGTTTTGTTCTTTTTTGCATGAGCATGTTTCTTGTTTTTATTGAATTAGTGCTACAGATTGCTGCTTGTTGATACTTCATGGATTTTCTTTTATGCTTGTTAACTTTTATTTCTGGCTCAGGGGCTTTCAAGTAGGAAGGTCGGAGCAACAAGCATACATTCAGGAAGTTCACAATCCCATATTGTGTTTACATGCGTCATCGAGTCCTGGTGCAAGGTATAATTGAAAATTGGAGTTTGCAAGTTCTATCAATTACTATTTGAAATTATCTAACATTTAATATTTTTAGGTTGTGTTTAACTCTATGTATAATAATATATACTGCTAGGATATGTAACCTTCAATTTTTTTGTTAAACAAAATCTTCTTAGTTGCATCATTTTACCCATCATCCATCATCATTTTACCCATCATCCACATAATGGCTAGATTTAATTTAGTTGGTACTGAACATGTGTATTTGTTTTCAGTTAACTATGCTAGGAAATTGAAACTAATTTCATCAGCAGGGAGATTTGTTATCATCAATTTAATTATCTTTCTATTTAAGTTGTTTAATTATGTATACTTATTTGCTATTTCATAAGTATACCTTTGATTATAATTTCTGGGGGACTAGATATCATGGAAACTCCTATTGAATGGCCTAAACTCCTACACTTCATTGAATTTAGGGCGAAGGCCAAGAAACAACTTAAAGCCATCATGAATGACCTAAAAAATATTCAAAAAACAGACCAAACTGATTCTAATCTAAAGATACTACGTTCTTCCAGAAAGCAAATGTTGGGCTTGTGTTAACTACAGTTGGATTTGTGCTATTAATTTCAGGACGAAGGTTGTCTGGAGAACACAGATGAAGAGCTTTTGATCAAGGTTCCTGGGAGTGCATACTCTGGAGCAATAAATCGTGTAACCAGAACTGACAAGCATGATGAGTCGGCTAATGCTTGAGAAACTACATAATCGACAGTGATGAAGCATCTTAAAGCAGAATCTGCATTGTCTAGGTAATCTCCCCAGTTCTTCTTTTGTATTAGGCAATTCTTAAAATACTAAAGGAGTATTTGCATTTTAATCCAGAAGTTGGTGCTTAGAGATTCTGCAATTAGAAAAAGGAGGTTAGGAAAATCAGCACCCAGAAAAAAAAAAATTTATTTTATGTTGTATGAATAGCTGCATCTTTTTTTTCTTTTTTCTTTCAAGAGTGTGTTGTTTAAAAGAAGCATTTGCCTAAGGAATTCAAGATTATACTGTAATGTATCCACTTGCCTAAGGAGCTTGCAACATGGCCGTTTGGATAGTTCATCCACTTGCCCTGTTATAATGTTTTGAAAATGTTAAACTTAGGCACTTTTGGATTATAAAAGCATGTTTTCTGGGATACAGTGGGGTGTCTTTTGGATTCATATTTTATTCTTTACCTCTGCTCTTTTCATTTTTTTTTCCCTAATGGAAAATGGTATGCAAACAAAATTGAAAATTTTAAAATGTAGGCACTTTTGGATTTTGAAAGCATGTTATTGGGATGCATGTTATTGACATATCCAGTTCACTTTGGAAGATAGAATATGGATTTTGTTGGTGGATGGGATCCATGTTATCTTGTAGGATCCATGTTGTCTTTTAAATGTTGTGTTTATAACTTCTTAATTATTCTTTCTTCACTAGGATTTGAGTTGTATCTTGTATAGCCTAAAATTCTCATGTTAAAATACAAATTTTCATCCATGCAATTGATGCTTATGAATTTGATGCATATAAACATAACTCCATAGCCTGTTTCGTTAATTGTTTTCAAATTTCAATTGTTTCAGAATGTGCTGCAAGAACTATTAGATGACAGTGTGCAAAAGTCAGTGAGAGACGACCAAAATCTGGTATTGCTTCCAAAGCAATTGTGGAGTTCACTG